GGGGGGGTTTAGGGTTAGGTACCGGTACTTATCTTGCAACCCCCTCAGTCGCCGCAGCTCCGGTCTTCCTCACTTCGCCAAAAGTTGATCGGGACGGGAATCCTGAGTCAAGATCTCTCTATCGAGTCTCCGTGGTCCTGGTGGCCGAGTTGTTCTTGGGATTGGGCCCGATCGACACTATGGGCTCGGCGGCCCGTTCACTTCTGTACGCGAATACCTCCGAGCGCATATCAGATCCTCACTCATCGCCCTCGAAAAGCAGCAAGCCATTGAAGAATATAAAGAGAAGTTTCTGGATCGTATCAGGGACTTTGTCGGCAATCACCTGCACAATATTCCCGCCATCGTCGAGGACATCCCCATCGTCGCCATGCACGCGGACATGGGCCCTCATAACATCATTGTGTCCAGCGAGACACACCCCGAGATACAAGCGGTCATTGATTGGGAATTCGTAGCCAGCGCACCATATGCATCGCTCCACCGAATTATTGAGATGCTCTTCCGCAAGCCTGCTTCCAATGGATTTGGCCCGGAGTACGAAGGCGCTGATGAACTCCGCGAAGCTTTCTGGGCAACTATCCCTGACTGGAAGCAGTGGGACCAGAGCGAGACGACACAAGCGTTCCTGGAGTGGTTCAGGTTCGGCCTGTTCATGAAGCCTGAATGGAGGCCGAAAGACTTACCCAAGGACGAGAGACAGGACTTTTGGCGGGAAAACATTCGGGTTGTTGAAGACATTTTAAAGAAGTATTCGTAGCAGTGCTCGACATAGTACTGCTGGTATGACTGCTGCATGGTTCGTTCGGCCTTCGACGTCTGTTCTCTCTCTATGTCGGTTGTGGTGGTCCTTGAGACTTTCCTGAGGAAAGAAGCTCAGATATGTTCGAAGTGTGGATATGTTCCCGTTTCGGAGTCCGCTAACGGCCCAACACTAGCCACAATCACTGTCATTTACGGCGGACTGTTAGCTGGTGAAGGGAAAAAACTAATCGCCAATTTGAAAATTCTTTACCCCGCACGTAATTGTAGCCTTTAGCTACTTACAACTTTATAATTATTTTATACACGTTCATACATGTTAATTTTATGATGCCTAGTAAGCGTCTTCTAAATAGTTACATCGTACAAGTGCTTACTGATATGGTGGCGACGTAGGAGGACGTCCTAAGATCAACCTTGAACCGTACCAACTCCATCTACTTGGGCTTTTCCATGAAGGTGTTACATACGCGCAGATGGCTACTTACCTTCTTGAAGAGTTTCAAGTCCGTGTTACTTCTCGTACGATTAAGCAGCGGTTCCAAACATGGAATGTAAGGCGACGCCTTCCTGCTGAGGTTGAGGATGGAGTCAAGAATCAGATCCAGGTGCTGTTCTTTGAGGTTGGGCTTGAAGATTCAGATATGCTTCATGTACTGCATAATGAAGGCTTCCAAATTGGAAAATATACGCTCGTACGACTTCGATTTGAGCTTGGATTACGCAGAAGAGTGCGAGGTGTTGAACAGAGCCAGCAAGCGGATGAGCTCGTACAACAACTCGTTGGTCAAGAGCTAGAGAAAGGTGTCATTGATGGGTATGGGCGAGGGTATCTTTATACACACTTTCGTCAACGTGGCCATATTATCGCACGGGACCGGTTATTTCGCATCTATCGTACGATGAACTATGAGGCAGTAGAGCGCCGCAAGCGCGACCTGCAGCGACACCGTGGGGAGTATATTGTTCCTGGCCCAAACTTTATCTGGTCTATCGATGGCTATAGTAAGCTGAAACCGTACGGCGTAGAGATCTATGCATGTATTGACGCGTACTCACGATACATTGTATGGATTTATGTTGGAATCTCTGCCTGCACTGCTGTTAGCTGCCTTCGCCAGTTTCTTAAGACACTTAAAGAAACAGAGCAGCAACCACGTTTTGTACAATCTAATTAAGGGACAGAGACAGTTATGCTAGCAGATGCTCATCACCAGCTTCAAAGGTTTGCAGAGCCTGAGCTTCCATTTAATTAGTGCTACCTCTACAGCACAAGTACATCAAATTAGCGGATTGAAGCTTGGTGGCAGCAACTCTTAAAGGGCCTTCTCTTTCGTTAGCGAGTTAGTATTTTGTACAATACCTATTACCCTATCTTACTTTAAGCAGGATTACTTCCACTACCTTCAGACCCAAGGCTTCTTCTTAAAAGATAGCTTAGCTGATCAGCTTGCTATCTATGCTATATATATTCCTATACTTCGTGAGGAACTATATAGCTTCGTACGACTATGGAACGCACATTCAATTCAAAGGCAGAAGAACTGTCTAAACGGCGTAGTTGGGAAGCCTTTTATGCTCTATCACCATCCCGGAGCCCATGTCCAGAACTGGGCTCTTTCATTTAATGCTAATCAGCTTCGTACGATTAAGAGAAGGGTTAACAGTTGGGATATAGATGCCTACCTCCCACAGGATACGCTTTAGTGGTGCAATGGGGTACTGGATTCGCTTAGATTTGACAGCGTAGCTGCAGCTCGCTCTAACTTTCAGGATCGTACAACACTATATCTAGATGTTTATCTTCAGCTTCAAGCAAAAGCACAATACCATATCCAGAACAGTCTTCAGCCTGTACTGTCTCTGCTCGAGTCACCTGTTGGAGCGTGGAATTAGCAGGTAAGGTTTCGTACAATGTGCTTAATATAAGAGTATCTAATTTAACTAGGGCAATCAAGACACAGTTTGAGATGTTGATCTTAAAACTGACCCTAGTGAGGAGATGCCTATTAATCCTAATCTAGCTTAGTAGATTCGCGTAGATGCAGTGACTAAGCCTCCATCCTTCCCACAGTACGTTTAAATTTTCCATAGTTTCTTCCTTAGTTCTTTCTTTAGTTCTTTCCCTTGTACAACGTACAATCTATTGTCACTATGAGTGCCCAAGATAAGTTTTGTCCTACTACAGGACAGTCTCATAGTAAGCAGTCTGCTAAATACAAGTTTTGTCCAGACTGTAGCGTTCGAATTCGACCTCTCACACCTACACGAATCGTACGAGACGAAGAAGAGATAATCTGTCTGGAGGATACACCTGAGAGCGCGAAGAAAGGAATGTTTATCTCTTCTGTACGAGCTGCTTCACGTACACCAGCAGAATCAGCACGTCAGCAGTCAATCCAGCGTACATCTTCGCTTCCTGTTCGAGGCCATACAACAGCCAAGCTCTCTATTCTTGTGATCCTCTGCTTCGTACAATATGAGGTGATTAATAAGCGCAAGCGAATTGATAGTATTGAACAGCCACGTACGATACCCTCTTGTATATTAGCTAATATCTAATACATAGTAGATCGGACCCAGATACAGCTTCAGAACGCGCCTCTTACAAGCCATACTGAGTTTGTTAAGAACAGCCTCCTCAAAGAGCTCGTACGATTTGATTCCTCAATCACTGAAGGCTATTCTGAACCATATCTTGTCGCAGATGTTGGCAAAGATTATGTCACACATCTTCCAAAGAGTGCTGAGGATTATCGTACAATTAAGGACTTGCTAGAAAGTGGATACTTCAAGAAGGGCAACCAGGGCACGACTCTGTACCTAGTATATGAGGCAACTATAGTAGCTCAGGATGAGATCTTTTCGTACGAACCCCCCACCAAGCAGACTAAGGTCAAGAAGGAGAAGAAGCCAGCAAAGGGGAAGAGGGTCAAGCAGGAATCAAGCTCTGTCAAAAATGAAGAGGATGGAGAAATGCTTTCGTACGATCGTAAGCGGGCACTGTCTCAGCTATCTGATGTTGATTCTCAAGTGCCCTATCAGCTTCGCAGTATCAAGAAGTAGTATGTCTTGTACGACAATTCAATTCATTTCTTCTATCTACTAGCCTGGTTTGGTTTCACTGTTTAACAGCTACTCGTCCCAGTCACCGCGCAGAGGTACAGGCCTTGACTGAGTGCTACGGACATCCCCACATAGCTAGGTGCCATAGACAACCCCTATGGCTAGGGCGCCCCACTGCCCTTAAAAGAAATATTGTACGTACCTTAAGCCAGAACTATCGCATTATCAGCTGAAGCCCCAGCAGGTTCATCCTCAATAAGGATAGGCTGCCACCGCGAACCGTCACCAGCACCACCAATCCCTAGGTTGTAGCCCAAACGCAGAGGTCCACCAGCTAGCTCATCATCACCCCCTTCTCTTACAGAGCAGCGACTAGCATGGTCACGCCATTTGCAATTGCCACATGCTCCGCCAAAGTGCCCCTCAGCGCGGCGGCACTCTGGGAACAGTCGTGGGCCCGAGACAGCGCCATGGCATGCGCTGCACAGGTTGTCCACTGCCCTTCCGCGAGATTGTATGAGGATGGCGTTGATGTACAAAGGCCTGTGCGAAGCTATTTGATAAGGGGATATACTGCCATATATAAACTCCACATCCTGCCCTGGAAGGGCTAGCAATGCACGGGCCTGTGGACTATGAGCCAGTGGGGCCAGCTGCTGCTGTCCTACATGTAGGACGGGATTGACATTGGCGCCGGCTTGGTTGGCAGCGGCGACGGCGGCATTGTAGAGAACAAGAGCCCTATTTCAAGTGTTAGCTTCGTACAACAAGAGCGATTAGGATACTGCAGGCTTAATGCCTACATTGTTGTTGTTGTTGTTGTTGTTGTTGTTGCTGCTGCTGCTGCTGTTGCTGTTGCTGCTGTTGCTGCTGTTGTTGCTGTTGTTGCTGTTGTTGCTGTTGTTGTTGCTGCTACTGCTGTAGTAGTGGTGGATGTGGAAGAGTGGTGGTGGCGGTGAGTATCTACAATTATCGTACGACGCCGTAGTGAAGGCAGTCGCCATGGAGGGCAGTCGCGATACAGTCACGTGAAACGACCCTTCACTCCTTAGATCTTTAAAAAACATCGTACAAATGCGTTATGGTATGTTTTGCCTAGTAAAATACTATAGTGTTTCATACCCAAAATGCTCCTAAGCGATTGGCGATTAGTTTTTTCCCTTCACCAGCTAACAGTCCGCCGTAGTCATTGGTCTTAGCATTTGCGTGGCGCTGTTGCCGAGTCAACCAGAGCGACCAGCTTCTAACCCGCGATCAGTCTGCGCGACAGCCATCAGTCATCGAACGGAGAATGCCGACCGGTCTCAAGCCTATGGGTGTGCCTTGTGCTCACTCTAGCTATTCAAGTAACTGCTTAGCCTTGTATATCTATTACTTTGTCCCCTGCGTCTTTAAACCACGTTTCCAACGTACAGGAGCCTTCTGGAGATATGAACCGTGCAACCAAAAACCATTCATCTGAGCATTTCGATTTGGTCAGTGAAAGAGACGCTTCCAGCACTCTGAATCCAAGTTCAATGCCCTTCCAGGATGAGTATCCCAGATCATGCGACCATCCCTCTTTGAAGACTCCAAGCCCGTGTCGAATAAGCGGTAATCAGTTAGTGCATATGAGGCAGAGTTGAGCTGCCGTGGCCATCCAGAATCAGCATCCTCCAACGATCGTCTAACACAGCCGTCTCAGGCAGAAATACCCGCTCTAACCACTCAGCTCCTATCGCATTTTGATTTCCAGCCATTCTCAGAGGTTGAGTACAGCCAGTCAGGTATTATTGTTGGAAACCAGGTACTCTGTAGGTTCTTCCCCTTGAATATAACTGCAGGGCGCGGTTCCTTGCCGGAGGCCGACACACACGCAATTATCGATGCCCACTCGCGGTTCTCTAGAGACTGATGGTAAGACTTCTTCTTTTGACTACTCGCGAGGACTCTGGTGTTGGCACATACACCGAGGGCCTTCCCAGTCTCATCCATATTCCATGTGTCCTCAGCCTGTATACACAGCCTCGTACGAACCCTCTCAAAGGGCTCAAGAAACGCGCGTATCTGTACTAGAGTTGCCCCCTCAGGCCGGACAGCCTCAATCTTTCGTCCGACAACGGATGCGACGCGTGGGTTGTCTTGCATGAGCTGAGAAGGGGTCATATGGTAAGCGAATTAACAAGATACTAAGAACCAAACAAAGTGGACTGCACGAGTGTATTGTAAGGTCTAAGGAGCTTGATAGAGCTCTGGGCTGACTATATACTGTACGAGAAAGGAGCTATGCCTAATGAGTGAATAGTGCAGTACATGGGTATGATATCGCGTGAGACACGTGCGACACACCCCCCTAGCTTTAACAAAGTAAATACTAAAGCAAAGCTGTATAAAAATAACTAATAAACTGTAGGTGTACAGTAGTGCACTTAAAAGTGTAAAATAGTAAAAAAGAAATTTATAAGCTTAAGCTTTAAAGCTAATATTAGTAGAGTAAGCCTTTAAAGCATTACTTATGTAACGGCACAGGCAAGATAATGGGTCCGAATGCGGTAGGAATCCACTCAGAGGCATATGGGAGTGTGTGGGGACTCTGAACCTGGGAATGCCATTAACACCTATAGGCCTTGTACAAAAGGATATTAGAAAACTACTAAGCTAGCTACAAGGGCAAGGTGCAACTAAATACATAAGGGAATAAGAGTACAGCAGAGGGCAGGGCAGAGTTAGGGCTAGGTTAAGGTTAGGGCTAATATAAGGGCCTTCTAGAGGTTCTAGGCAACCTAATAATTTATAAGAATTAAGTTAAAGTTAAAGCTAATAGAAAAACTTTTTAAATAGGTTCTAAGTAACTTAAGATAGAATAAAAATTATTACACTACTCTTCTCTCTATAGACTAATAGTCTCTATTAGTAGTAATTATAGTATAAAGCATTGCTATTACAACTTCTGCCTTTCTAAACTAAAACTAGTCTAATTTAGCTAGGTGTTCTTACTAAGTATTCTTTTACACTACTAGTAGTGTCCTTTAAACTTAAACGCTACGCATGCAGTTATTAATTATTAGAGTAGTAAGTGTAGTTTATTAATTAAAGCTAATTTAAATAAGATAATAAAGTCTTTTATATAAGTCTTTTTTTTAAATTATACACTATAAAGTAAGCTACTATAGCTTTAAAAAAGTTTACCTAGGTATGTTTAAAACTATAATTTAGTACTTATAAGCTAAGAGAAAGCTTTTTTTATAAGTAAAAAAACTAATCTAACTAAAATACTTTTTCTATAGTTTTTAATTATTTGTCTAATATATCTAGATAGTTCTAGAAATTCTTTAGCTTTCTTAACTATTATAGGTTTTAGCTATTCTAAGACCTTTTATATCTTAGCTAGGTTAATTTTAATTTTATTACTATTAATTATAAACCTTAGGCATTCTATTTCTATAACATATAATTTATATTTAGATAGTTAAAGATAAAGTCTATATTTTTATAATTTGTCTAAGACTTTTTGTACCTTCTATACATAGTCTTCTACAATGTCTTTTATGTAGATGAGAACGTTATCTAGGTATACTAGCGTAAAAACATTATGGTATAAGTTTAGAGCTACGTTAATAATTTTTTAAAATATTACTAAGGTGTTTATTAGTCTAAATAGTATTACTAATAGCTTATATAATTTCTATAAAGTATAAAAGGCTGTTAGCTATTTATTTTTTTCTTTTATTTATATCTTATTAAACTTATCTTATATATTAAACTTTACAAAGTACGTAGTTTCTTTTAACGTACTTTACAGGCAAGTTGCTTACACACCTAAGTTACTTACTTTTACTAAGACCTTACTAAACTACCTTTTCTACACTAATGCATTCCCTACAACACTACTTAGATGCGCTAAAGAACATTAGATATAGCTTACACTCTAAGCTTTTAAATAAGACATAAAACTTTTAAAGAAATATGCTACAGCTATATATAAAGTTCTATAAAAAATAATAAATAACTATAGCGCTAGACAACCTTTACAAGCTAATTCTACAGCTAAATTATAAAGGCTAGGTAATAAAAAAAGTAGGTAATTATTAAGACTATACTTAAGCTATATACATAAGGAATTTCCTCTTAAATAGCATTTATAGCTAATATAGCTAATTCTTTACATGCTAAGCGTAATCTAGGCTATGTTTATATAAACTAGCCTAGTATGTTTATAAAGTGTTATTTAAAGCTTAAAGTAAAGTTTTAAGTGTAAGTATAGTTAAAAGATATTTAGCTAATTATAAACTTTATTTTACTAAAGTTATACATGTTATTATTCTAGATGCTATACTTAGCTTTAATATTCTCTATAAGGCTAAACCTACTTTAAATTACTTTAGAACTTTTATAAAAAGCTTTTTTATAGTTATACTTACCCTTAAATGTTACTTTAAGCTCTAAATAACGCTTTATAAACATACTAGGCTAGTTTATGTAAACATAGCCTAGATTATGCTTATCGCGTAAAGAATTAGCTATATTAGCTATAAATACTATCTAAGGGGAAATTCCTTACGCATATAGCTTAAGTATAGTCTTAATAATTACCTGCTTCTTTTTATAACCTAGCCTTTATAATTTAGCTGTAGAATTAGCTTATAAAAGTTATCTAGCGCTATAGTTATTTATTATTTTTTATAGGACTTTATACATAGCTGTAGCATATTTCTTTAAAAATTTTATATTTTATTTAAAAGCTTAGAGTGTAAGCTATATCTAACATTCTTTTAGCACATCTAAGTAGTGTTGTAGGGAATGCATTAGTGTAAGAAAAGTAGTTTAGTAGGGTCTTAGTAAAAGTAAGCAACTTAGGTGTGTAAGCAACTTGCCTGTAAAGTATGTTAGTTAGTTTATTATAATTTATATAATTAGAAAAGGAAACTAATCTTAAATTATATTATTATTTAAAGTTTAGTAGTTCTAGTAGACTCTAATTTTTTCTCTTTTTTTTTAACAAAGACTACTGCTAAGGCTACTAGGCTATAGCTTTCTTAAATATAGCTGCGTACTAACATTTAGTTAACATATTCTTATAAGGCCTTTTTCTATATCCTTGTTAAAGTGCAGAGCCTGTAGGTCTTTAGGTTATAATTCTTTACTAGGTTTATAGCGTAGTTCTATAGTTAGTGTGGAGGCAGTTCTTCTAGATTCTTAGGTGTTTTAAACATGTCTCTATAATTCTTGTACTTACTAGAGATAGCATGCTCTTCTTAGATTCTATAAATTCTAATCTATTTTATGTCTTTATTAGCTTTAAGTTTTTTATAAAAAACTTTCTCTAGTTTTTTATTATTACTTTTATTACTTTAGCTTTTAGCTTTTAGTAAGAGAATTTTTAGAGTTTTTATTTCTTTACGTAGTAACTGCTACTCTATTTAGCTTATTTATAGATTATGCATAAATTATTATACTATACTAACTAAGTTATATGTGCATAGTTCTTAAGACTTTTAATTATTATTATTTTTTAGTTAATAGCTAGGTTGTGCTTTCTAAGCTAATTATAGCCTAAGACTACATTATACTTGTTTTTTAATAAAAGTATACTTATAAACTTTTATTTCTTAGTGTTTAGTTGTAAGGCTAGGATAGCGCTTACGTGTAAGGCTAAGATGGTGCTTACGTGCAATAGGTATATATACTATTCTGCACCTAAAAATTAACGTTAGTGAATTATTTATACCTTTTAGTTGTATTAGTAGCGTAGTGCAGAGCTTTATTCTTACATAATAATTAACTAATAATAAGGACAGTTGCGTGTTTAACTTACACCTTAGACAGCTTAGCTAGTTTTTAGACTAAAACATAAGGCGGCCTCTTCTAGCGCCACGTTGTTGCTGCTAGGAGGTCTAGTGTATATAGCTTAGCTAGCGTAGGCTACTAAGCGTTGTGTTGTGTTTATCCCGCGCCTCTAGGCCGCAGGTGGTCAGCCTCTGGCCGGTAACCGAGACATGCGCATAGGCGCCTCTGAGCTGCGGGTAGGTCATGTGACGCCTGGGACATGCGTCTGCTAAGAAGGGGGATAATGTAAGGCTAGGATAGCGCTTACGTGTAAGGCTAAGATAGTGCTTACGTGCAACAGGTATATATACTATTCTGTACGCAATAATTAACGTTAGTTATTCGCACCTTTTTAGTTGTATTAGCGTAGTGGTACAGAGCTCTGTCCTTACATTAGTGTTTCTAAATCTTCTTTATATATTTCTAGGTTAATCTATCCTCTGCTATATTCTAATAGTAAAGTGTTAGCAAGAGTTACTTTAAATAAGCTTTTCTTAATTTAGAATAAGATACTCTACTTGTCTACCTAGGTTATGTCTATTACTGTAAAAGTGCATCTACTGTTAATAAGAGCTAACTCTATCTGTTCTTTAAATATAAAGGTTATAGTTAAGCTTTACTCTACTTCTTAGCCTACAGCTACTAATTCTTTTATGTTATAAAATATTTCTTTTTTATTATTTATAAAGTATAAGTTAACATCTTTTTATAAGTTATTAAGTTTGTTACTTTTTTTTTTTTAATAAAGTTAGTGCTTTTTAACGCAGCAATTAGCTACTTTACATTTATAGTCCTTTACTAGGTAGTAAGTTAGTATATAATCTTCTCTGCATACTGTTTTTTATTAGAAATAATAGAACCTATAACTATTTTAGTAATTATAGTTAGGCTAACTTTTTAGCTTCTTCTAAATAAGTAGAGTTTAACATGTGTAACAATTTGTTACTTTACATATTAAGGCAGTGCCTTTCTATAGGTCTCTGTCTAGATGTCTTTTCTATGTAGGCTACTATCCTGCTTAGTGTTTGTTGTTCTAATGCTTTATGCAATATTATTACGTGCATTAGTACTAGGGGTATAGACAGTTGTCTAGTCTGTGTAGAGTGTTAGGTAGACTTTCCTAGGTCCACCTAGAGTATTCTTAGGTTTGTACTAGCTGTACAGGATGTTCTTTCTACTAGCAATTGTCTATGCTATAGGAAGTGCTGCTACAGAGGAGACACTGTCTGTAGTTTTGTTGTAAAACAAGGGCCTTTCTGCTAACTGCTAGCCCTAGAAGCAGGGTTTAAAGCTGCTCTAGGTTTAGTTCTAAGACTTTAAACCTAGCAGGTCTGCCTAGTCTTTTAAACTTTTAATTATAAATTTTTATATAAAACTACTATTATTCTTTTTT